TTTCCTTTTTAAAAAATTTATTTATTATTTATTTTTAGAATATTTTATTTGTTTGAGAGAGAGAGAACAAGCTGAGGAGAGGGGCAAAGGGAAAGGGAGAAGCAGACTCCCTGTGTATCAGGGAGTCTAACATGAGGCTTGATCCTGGGACCTTGGGATTATGACTTGGGCCAAAGGCAGATGCTTAACTGACTGAGCCACCCAGGCACCCCCCAAAGTTTTCCCTTTCAAGAACTTTAGCTTTCAGAATATGTCAAGAGCTGGACAAAAATGGAGATACAGAGAGGACCATTGTGTTTTTGTGTAATTGTCTATGTGGTTGTGAGCTAAAATGTCTTTGCTTGACTTTGACAGAGAACTGTACATATCCTTGACAATCAGTTTGGATTAGTGTGTAAGGTAGTCTAATTGGGTTTCAGTTTGCTGTGTTTTTACCTTACTAAAGCAATTTTAAATAGTGGCATTGCTCAGTAGGCTTATGACTGGTTGGACAGTCAAAAGGTCAGTTTTAGGTCTGTCACTGGCACTGATTTCCATGGTGACCTTTCTGGACATTTCTTTTTCCTCATGCTAATGTGGCAGTGTAAAGGTATTACAAGTTGTAAGAACTTTGCATATCCAGTCTATTAAATATGTGATTTTGTTGTTAGTGAAACTATTGGCTTTATATCGACAGGAAGGAAGTTTTTAACATTTCAAGCTTGACTTTCCCAACAATCTATTTACTTTGGGTACTCTTGTTACTGAACAGGAAACATTTCGTCTTTTGTGGTTGCTTTTTCCCACTGGTTATAAGACACATGTACAATATTTTATTTAATCTACATTAAAACCCTGTGAGGTAGGCTGGCCAGATATTCTTATTCCTGTTTTACAGATGAAAAAATGAGTCATAAAGGCACAAGGTGACCTGTTCAAGGTTTCTTAGCTACTAAGTACCAGCACTGGAACTCAAACTCAGGCTTATCTTACCTATTTCTGTGTATTTTGTTTTTGCTCTTTGTTCATTTAATTCATTAATTGAGGTGTAGTTGACATATAACATGTTAACTTCAGGTGTGCAACATAATGATTTGAAATTTGTATACATTGCAAAATGATCAGCAACCTTAGTCTAGTTAACATTTCTTATTTCTGTTCTTAAACATATTTCCAAATGTTTTCAAAAACATTTTATTTATTAATTTCATGTAATAAGGATCTTTCAGGCTGAAATGCTTATATACATGTGATTTGAATTATTTGAAATAATTTAATGTTTAGAAAATACAGAAGTAGGTAAGTGAGGCTTTTAGAGATATTAATTTTATTGAAATAGATGGTTTCCTGGTGTTTGGTCATTTGTTTATTCCTTTTTTCATGCAACAAATATCTATTAAATGTCTACTATGTGCTGGACACTTTTTTCTTAAAGATTTTATTTATTTTCTTATTTATTAAAGATGTTATTTATTTGAGAAAGAGAGACGAACACGCAAGAGGGGGGAGGGGCAGAAGAAGTGGGAGACAGAGAAGCAGGCTCCCAGCTGAGCGTGGAGCTTGACGTGGGGCTCTATCCCAGGACCCTGAGATCATACCAACTGAGCCACAGCAGCACCCCTTAAAGATTTTATTTTTAAGTGATCTGTACACCCAAAGTGGGCCTTGAGCCTACAATCCTAAGGGAGATCAATAGTCACATGCTCTACAGACTGAGCCAGCCAAGGACCCCATGCTGGACACTTGTCTACTACTGAGGATATATACCACGTATGACATACATGGTCCCTGCTTTTACATTCCTAGCAGATGAGTCTCTTTAAATGAACAAAATATGTTAGAACTAACACAAAATGTAATCAATGGCGTGAACTAGAAATGGAAGATAATTGTTTCTAGTTTTTATTTATCCTTTATTAATTAATTTATTTATTTTTAAAATATTTTATTTATTTATTTGACAGACAGAGATCACAAGTAGGCAGAGAGGCAGGCAGAGAGAGAGAGAGAGAGGAGGAAGCAGGCTCCCTGCCAAGCAGAGAGCCCTATGCGGGGCTCGATCCCAGGACTCTGGGATCATGACCCGAGCTGAAGGCAGAGGCTTTAACCCACTAAGCCACCCAGGCACCCCTTCTTCTTTATTTTTTTAATAGCAGTTTTTAGTTACTATGATTCATTAAGAAGAGTGATTTAAAAAATGAAAAGTGTGCCCTGACTCTAAAGTATGCATTAGGGGGATATTATTTATATCATGTCCTACTTGATAAAATATACATGTCCCACTTTTATGTCTTTGTAGTTGGATTAGGAAGTAAGGGAAATGAAAGAAGAGCTAGTACATGATGTTAGTTGAAAGTCAATGAAATTATTTTATTTACAAAATATGAGTTGATATGTTTTCCTCAGCTATGGTTTATTGAATTTATGAAGTGTGATAGACCTGTTTGTTGTTTGGAACTCTATGAAAGTTCAAGTTTCATGTCTAATTATTACTATCCTTTGAGCTCTTACCATCTTACCTGCTAATTGGTTAATATTTTGATGCATAATTATGGGGTAGAGTGATGCACTAGAAATTCCAGTTTTGTGGAACCATGAAAGCAGAAATTATCTTGGCAGTTAATACCATAATCTGCCCAATCTTCCAGTTCTCTCAATTTATCTTCAAAGACATGAATTTGGAATATGCATTATTATGGATGTTTTCCCCCAAGATATGTTACAACCCATTTGTGTGACTCTGACTTAAAAATGGTTGTTTTCTGCTAATGTTAGATATAACCTTCATCTCAGCTTCAGATTAGGAAGGAAAACAGGAATGAAAATGGATGCCAGATAATAAAAAGTATTTGTGTACAGTGTATCATTAGAATAATTTTATCCAAAATAAAACAAATTTGTTTGTTATTTTCAATGCTTCTCTCTGGAAAGCGGATTTGTGAATTCTGTCTTTCAGCTTGGTTTCCCAGTGGATTAACTATTTAATCTTCTCAGAGTGTTAAAATAGTTTTCCTGTGGCTCAGGCTTTATTTGAAGCAAATGACAGCCAAGCAAAGGGACAATTTTCATGACACCCTACAATTATTATGAGATCTTTCTGAATTTCAGTTTAAGAATTATATATGAGGTTCCTTTGTCCTTTGTTTTTAGAAATTATCAGACATTTATATATTAAAGATGATTTTTAGTACCTCTGTAATTATTGAAAAAAATAGATTTTAAAATGGAAATGACCTGGAGGGACTAGCTGGTTAAGGCTCCTTCTTTGTGACAGTTTAGACAATAGGTCTCAGAGAAGTTGAGGAAATTGCTTGAGGTCTCACAGCTAGCAGCTCAAGTTTCGTGTTGATTAGTATTGTTTATTTTCCAGGTCTTCATGTTTTTCTGGCAGACGTCCTAGAAATAGAATAAATTTACATTTTATTTATTTATTTATTTATTTATTTATTTATTATTTTATTTATTTATTTGACAGAGGGTGACACAGGGAGAGAAGGATCACAAGCATGGGTAGTGGGAGAGGGAGAAGCAGCCAATGTGGGGGTTGATCCCAGGATGCTGGGATCATGACTTGAGCCAAAGGCAGACTCCTAACAACTGAGCCATCCAGATCCCCTAAATTTACATTTTAAAAACTATAGTTTTAATCCCTTAAGTACTCCTTATAAAAGTTAACTTGACATTTAGATGAGTTTCCTCACTCTTATGTGCCCATTATTTTTGCTTTTTATTTTTTTTAAGATTTTATTTATTTATTTGGCAGACAGAGATCACAAGTAGACAGAGAGGCAGGCAGAGAGAGAGAGAGGAGGAAGCAGGCTCCCTGCTAAGCAGAGAGCCTGATGCGGGGCTTGATCCCAGGACCCTGGGATCATGACCTGAGCCGAAGGCAGAGGCTTTAACCCACTGAGCCACCCAAGCGCCCCCATTATTTTTGCTTTATGATGGCCCCAATCTAGGAACCAGGACAGTGATTCTAAAAAGGACCTCTCAGAGACAAAGAATGAAGGACCCCTGGAACAGAAATACAGGTCTATATTTTGGAGTTCATGGTATATTTAAATGTGAAGAAATGCCAGAACTGGGTGATAAAAATAATATGGACTGCTTTTAACATTCACAGGTAGCACAGTAATGCTTTAATGACAACCACTTAAGTATCATGTGTGTATAGTCCAATTTGGAAATAATGTTCAACATGGAGATGGGAGCATTTTGTGAATGCTAGGCATATAGCCTTTTCCCCCATCCTTCCCCTTTGTTCTTAAAACTTTTTTTTTTTCTTTTTACTCCAACATACTTAAAGATTATAGCACATTCCAGTAATAATGGCAGGCTTGCTATGAGCAAGATGGCTGAAGTGGGGGGTAGGGTTGAGGTAGGGTGGAGTCATGTGGGGGTGAGATATATATTGAGACCTGGAATTGGTGATAGAAGTAGAAATCTGAGTGGTTTTAAAAAGACCTTCTTTTAGGTAATACTTCACGTGATAGGTGATTTTTTTTCTTTTTCTTTTTCTTTTTTTTTGATTCTTAAGCTTTTAAATAATATCTTAGTCCTTCCCCTCCTTATTTTAGAAGGAGATAAAGAATACAACACATTTTGACCATAACTGAGGCCTGTCATCCAACAAAAGTCCTAAATCTCACCTCTACATAAAGCCTTTCTAAATTATTCCCATGCACAGAAATTTCTGCCATTTGGGGCCATAGATCTTCCTTATATGAGTCTTCTCTCTCTCCCGCTAAACTTGCAATGAGAGAGATGGATACAGTGTGATTTTTCACTGTTCAGCTTGAAATGTTCCCCAAACTCAGAGAATATTTAATGCTTTTTTAAAGAAGGTGTTTCGGGTGCCTGGGTGGCCTAGTCAGTTAAGCATCTGATTCTTGGTTTGGTTCTCCGGTCATGATTTCAGGGTTGGCGCTGAGTGCAGAGTCTGCTTGAGATTCTTCTCCACTCCCCCTTCTACCTCCTTTGCAGGTGCACACACACACACTCTCTCTCAAATAATAAATAATATCTTTAAAAAAGTTAAAGAAGGTGCTAACATATTGATAGCATTATTATACAAGAACATTTGAAGGACATTATGGTTTTGATATTGAAACAAGCAGATATCTACCTGTCTAGATTGGAGTGACGGTCTTTCAGGATTTAACCCCATGGTGAGTCTACTTGGGTGACTGTTCACCCCTATCAGCATCTTCAGTAAGAGCAAGGAAATAAGAAAATTGTTCAGACTTGGTTTTGTCCCATCATGAGCCCAAGCAGGGGCTAAATCAAGGACGGCACTATGGATCTCTTAAGAGTGTAGTAAAATATTAGTTTTTGAAATTGGATTTGACATTATTCTCAACTTTGGGGAGCTGTGTCTGTCACTTAGGCATGATGAGTTTGTAGTTCTCTGAATATGATGAAGGACGTATTTTTTTCAGAGTATATACCCATATTCTTTGACATAGTTACGTAGTCATTTTGGAGTTGTTCTAAATGAGAGCCTTTTTCTTTTCTTTCCTTTTCTTCCTTCCTTCCTTCCTTCCTTCCTTCCTTCCTTCCTTCCTTCCTTCCTCTCTTTCTCTCTCTCTTTCTTTCTTTCTTTCTTTCTAGATTTTATTTATTTGAAAGAGAGAGAGAGACAGACTGAGCAGGGCAGACAGAGAGGGACAAGCAGACTCCTGGCAGAGCAGGGAGCCTGATGTGTAGCTCCATTCCAGTATCCAGGGATCATGACCTGAGCTGAAGGCAGATGCTTAACTGCCTGAACCACCTAGGCACCCTGAGAGAGACTTTTTCCATCAGCAAGCAAGAACATGAAACTTTGGAGAGGTCAAGCTATAGTTAATTATTATGATGTGGTATATTGATCACATGGGATAATGAGACATAGGCCATCTCTACCCTCATTTGTATTCTTTCTAATCTTACTAATTTTTTAGATAAAAATTCATTCATTATATAAATATAAATATCCACTGTGTACTGGAATCACATAACTTGGAGGCAATGTGATATAATAGAATGAATATGAGATGGTTAGAAAATTGTTTTATTTTGGATTCTTAACCACTGATAAACTTGGCTTTCAGTAAGCAGTTATCTACTTACCTCGGTGGACTTGAAAAAGGATCAAAAGAGCCAGCCACATGAAAGCATTTGGAAAATGGTTTTTACACAACACATACAATATTATTATTAGACATGAGTTTGATATAACCAACAATGGACCTGTTGGTTATATTTCAAATGCTAGCAATTGGATTAGTCATTCTCTAATGTGTGATCTGTAACTTGAGTTAGTAAAGTGCTTTATAGGTGTTTGTGTCTGCTCTCTTGCTTTTTGAGTGTGTCTATTACTTGCACTGCTATGAATGATAGAAAATGTATATAAACACTTCTAAAAACCTTACCTTACCTACCTTCATGGTTTTTTTTTTAATATTTTATTTATTTATTTGATAGAGATCACAAGTAGGCAGAGAGGCAGGCAGAGAGAGAGGGAAGAAGCAGGCTCCCTGCTGAGCAGAGAGCCCCATGCGGGGCTCGATCCCAGGACCCTGAGATCATGACCTGAGCCGAAGGCAGAGGCTTTAACCCACTGAGCCACCCAGGTGCCCCTACCTTCATGTTTTTATTTTGTTTTCAAAATGTTCCTTTCATACTGTTCTGCTCTAACTTAATAAATTCCTTCTTTTATAGTTTACTAAAATTCACCAGTTTAGCTTTTTCCTTTCTTTTCCCATACAGACTTCTAGTTGGTATGGTTTTTAGTATTTTGTAAAGTTACTATCATATACTTTGTGAGATTAACAATAGTATTGAGTTATATTTTCTACTAGTTGTTTAACCTAATATAAGAGGATGGTGACTAAATTGATTAATAAAAATGTGAATACTTGAATTGGCTTGCACTAGGGTTTTGAAAATGTTTTTAATTTCCTTACTTCCTTTTGTCGGTCTTGGCAACAACACACTAAACCAGGGTATGGATTAAAGAGTGTTACAAGGAGAAAACTGGGGAAAAAACTGGGAGTACTAAAAACACAGAATTTTTAAAGTTTACATTTTCTATAGAATTTTTTCTAGTACCTAGAGCTGATGGGGCAATGTGCTTGCAGTATTCATTGACAGAGCTATGTCAAGATTTAGCTGAAAGCATTTTAAAGAAGACTGATAATTAGAAGCAGGAAATAGATCTTGCAGGTCTAGTCTAAGAACCTTCAAATCAGCTTTTCATTTCATAAGTCACTTCTATTTGACTTATTATTACTTTCTTCTTTATTTTTTTTTTAATATTTTTATTTATTTATTTGAGAGAGAGAGATCACAAGTAGACAGAGAGGCAGGCAGAGAGAGAGAGAGAGAGAGGGAAGCAGGCTCCCTGCTGAGCAGAGAGCCCGATGCGGGACTTGATCCCAGGACCCTGAGATCATGACCTGAGCCGAAGGCAGCGGCTTAACCCACTGAGCCACCCAGGCGCCCTCTTCTTTATTTTTAAAGTTTATTTATTTATTTATTTTGGTAACCTCTACATGCCACGTGGGGCTCAAACTCACAAATAAGAGATCAGGAGTGGATGTTCCTCTGACTGAGCCAGCCAGGTGCCCAATTTTTTTCTGTTTTTGAAATAATATAATCACATTAGAAAAAGTATCCAGGAAAAGACGAGAAAAACAATCAATCACAGTTCATCACCCTGATCTAGTTACTATTAGCATTTTGATTTTTTCTTTAGTCTGTTTTATAAATTTTTAAAAATTATTGTAATGTGGATATACTTTTATAGCCTGATGTTTACCATTTTAGAGTAGAGCATAAGAATTTTTCCATGTCTTTATATCAGATAAGGGCATTTTGAATAACTTGCTGCATATTATGTGTCATCTACTATATATCAGTGGTTAACTCAATATATATTAAATTCCATATTTCAAAAAGTAATTTAATTCACAGACTTTTATTGTCTAGTAAGGATCTTAATTTCATTTTTCTATGATTTTGCTGTGCTTTATGATTCCTGTAATGTTTTCATTTCCACTGATAAGCAGACTCTACAAATGACCATTTCCTGGAATTGAAGGGGGGATGGTGGCACTGCCCACCCACAGTATATGGTTAAATGTGATGACATTGAGGATGCTTTTTAGAAAAAGATACCTTTATTTATAATTTTAAAATTTTAAACTATATCTACAACAAGATATAATGTATTAGGATAATATAGATATTCATTCAACACATTGGTCTAAGCCACTGATGGTCAACCAAACACAGGTCCATAACCATTCCATGTTCCTTGAAAATTAGTGCATTTCTAAAGTGCTTACATTGCTTTTGTTCACCTTGGTTGAATACAAAACACTTGTTTGAGCAGCTTGTTGGCCGACTAGTCTGTATCTGTCCTGCCCTAAAATGGAAGTTGTCAATGGCTGATTAAACCTGAGATTACAAGGGCGCCTGGGTGGCTCAGTGGGTTAAGCCTCTGCCTTCGGCTGAGGTCATGATCCCAGGATCCTGGGATCGAGTCCTGCTTCGGGCTCTCTGCTCGGCAGGGAGCCTGCTTCCTCCTCTCTCTCTGCCTGCCTCTCTGCCTACTTGTGATCTCTGTCAAATAAATAAATAAAATCTTTAAAAAACAACAACAACAAAAAACCCCCTGAGATTACAGATTTCATTCCTGGTTATTTGGCCTGCCATTTAAGATTCTTTAATCCAAACGTGACATCTGTGACATTGTCAAGTCTCAATTTAGACAATACAGTATGATACTTTTGAATTTTAGTTAACCAACTTTGCCTTAGATTGGCAACAAATTCCATCTGTCCTTGATTATTTTCTTATCTATTTTGTTACATAGTGTAATTGGACCTTCTGTTACCTTTGTAGCAAATGCAATTCTTGTCTTAGAGTATAGGGTTTCTTTAGTTATCTTTGATTCTTAATTTTGTATTAACTTGGTATAGCCAGTCATAATTTTATTTATCTTGTGTTCTATGACTGCAGCTTTCAAAATAGAGTAACTCAAAGACTTCTGATTTCACACTTTTAAATTTGCACATGTTTTGCTTCAATTTTGTTGCCTTGTTTTCTGTGTTTCAATTGTAAGATTCTACCCCATTCTATTTAAAAATAGGCATATTAAAAAAAATAAAAATAAAAATAAGCATAAAGAAATTTTTTTTTTTAAAGATTTTATTTATTTGACAGAGAGATCACAAGTAGGCAGAGAGGCAGGCAGAGAGAGAGGGGGAAGCAGGCTCCCTGCCAAGCAGAGAGCCCGACATGGGGCTCAATCCAGGACCCTGAGATCATGACCCAAGCCGAAGGCAGAGGCCCAACCCACTGAGCCACGCAGGTGCCCTAGGCATAAAGAAATTCTATGTTGCTGAGTGCTATGGGTATTGTTAGGCTATATGTTCAGTTGATTTCAGTGTGATGCTTAGAAGGCCAAGATTGTGAGTTTTATCCCTGGTTGGGCTTATTAGCTTGGCTGCTTTTAAATATAAACTTTACAGTTACGACAAATACAGAAGCAGCAAGTGGGTATTAGTGAGGATGAGTCAGTACAAATCAGTTAACACTGATGAAAATGATCTCTAACCATGTCTCTAACCATGTTCCAGAATTTTCATCCCCTTTTATTTTATTAGTAGGAAAAGAGGCAGGCAGAGAGAGAGGACGGGAAGTAAGCTACTTGCTGAGCAGAGAGCCCAATGTGGGGCTCGATCCCAGGACCTTGGGATCATGACCTGATCCGAAGGCAGAGGCTTTAACCCACTGAGCCACCCAGGCACCCCATTTTCATCCCCTTTTAAAGACCATTATAAGGGAAAATATTTTTATATTCAATATCTATAAGAGCTGAATAAATATCGTTATATTCAAAGTCTACAGGGGCTTAATAAGAGAAAGCACCACGCTTGTATGTTTGTTATAAAAATTAAATAAGAAATGTATATAAAACCCTTGTACTATTGGCACTTACTAAATGTTTTGTGAAGAATAGATACTACTGTCATTTTTATTATCATTA